CCCCCCCACGCATACACACAAACATGCATCCTCACACACTATCTCACACACCTTCTCTCCCACACCCACACACCCACACACAAAACATGTATATGTAGGACATCACTGTGGAATCAGTCACTCGTCAAATTTCAGGGAAAGGAGAAATGAGTATTTTTCCAACTGTTGGGTGATATTTTATTAATTAATTTTTTCACAGGATGCCTTCTCCATTTGTTGAAGAACAAATTAAAGGGTGAATTTTACAGAAAAAAAGTTATTTAAAGCAAAAAGTAGCTTATTTTGCAGAATGAGTATACAGCTTTAAAATTAAAAGTCACTAAACTTCGGCAGCCATTTTTTCACTAATTTCATCTGTAACATTAGGTACCTATCACCATCTTAAATTGCACATATCTCGACTTCTATTCACGATAGATCAACAATTTTTCCACCAAGTTCAAGAAAATTAAACAGACTTTAATTTGATAGCAATATAACACATTATACTGTTTCTTTCCACGCCTCACGTAATCTATTATCTATTTGTGGTGGCCGAATGTTGCTATTCAAAAGGCTTTTTAATGGCTGCATCGATCGACATGCGGTGTTTGCCAAAAAATTCTTTAAAGTATTCTCCAGAGCATGGCGCTCTTGGTTTTTTTCAGTTTTGAGACAGTTTTGCTGCAAAAAGCTAAATTTCTTTATTTCGCCAATCGCTTTTGTAGGCAGACGCTTCTGTCTCTGTAATTTTAGAAAACCCGGAAGTGATATTTCGCGGGGCGCATTTTGTTTTGAGAGTATAGATCTAGACCTTCTAATTTTTTGCATCTTTCAAGATGTATTGCCCCATTCCAGTAGAGTGTAAATATAGTAGGCCAATGACTTTTAGTTGATATTAAAGCACCGGCCTAGACGGTCAGAGAACGGTTAGTATAAGAACGTAAAGGCACCGCCGATCATTCCTTTCATCGAAAGGGGGCCCAGCTAGTAGAATATACTAGCTGGGTACCCCGTTCGATGAACGGACTCAAAAGAATCGATCGTCAAGTCATTGTGGGATCAGTGTGCACACTCTTTTTTGAGCGGAAGTCTCACTTGTTTGCAATGGCGTCTTTGAAGACGGACTTTCCCAAGTTTAGATCTAAACAAAACTAATGAAAAACTGAAAATTAAACTACAGTGACTTCAGACTCATCAATATAACTGTGCACCCTTTGAATGATTCTGAACCACCGTTAGTTTTTTTCAAATTCGAAAGTTAAGTGGTTCGGAAGTTTTAGGCGACCAAAGAGACGCACTTTCACAAATATAATTTTTATACATGTTTCTCTCTCCAGGCACAGGCAGAGCCAATCAGAGTCCTTGCAGACGTCAGACAAAGAGGAGACAACTCAACGCAAGCGCCTCAAGTCCCCCCCACCCCCGCCCCGCCCCAGCAGTCGCGGGTCGCCCACCACCGACCTCTTCCGCACCAGGGAGAGGCGGGACAGCGGAGCCAGTGGGCGGAGCCACAGGAGGGGGGCGGAGATTGACAGGCAGGACGAGCCTGAGGGGGCGGGGCTTAGGTAGGGTCATAGATAGATAGTGTGGCTATGCGCTATATGAGTGCAATTATTGTTCTTATTGTTGTTATTATTATTGTTATTATTATCATTATTATTGTTATTATTGTTATTATTATTATTATTATTTTTATTATTATTATTATTATGCAGTTGCGAACGCCGTAAAACCTCTACTAAAACATAAACAGACTGCTGTCTGAAGCTGGGTTTTTTGGTGGGTTTTTTTGGGTCATTCATCGCACTCTTATCTTCTGGTCGTATGTTGTCTCTTCTCTTGTATACCAAATGTTGGCCTCAGGAGGAACTAAGCGCTTTGTGGATGTAAAACTCTTACAAAAACTGAACTTAGAACAAATCTCCTGTCCGCACAAAGGCCTTATTGTGTGTCACGTAGGGTTGTATTGACACACACACACATACACACACACACATACACACACACACATACACACACACACATACACTCACACACACATACTATATACACACACACACACACTCACACACACACACTCACACACGCATACATTCACTCTCACAAACACACACTCTCACAGTGGGTGGTTGGCGGCTGCTCTGATGTGGTTTTCTCCTTCTTTCCTATCAAACATCTATCGCCTTTATCTCCCCTCCTTCTTTTTTTGTGTTTGAAACTCTTTTGTAACACCTCTAATCTTCGGCATTTGTATGACCTTATTGTGTTGCAAGTGCCGTAAAACTCTTACTAAAACTAAACAAAAACCCCACTCACACACACACGATCTTCTCGGTGTTTCAGACAGCGACAAGGCCCGCCGGCAGACAGACCCAGGTCTCGGCAGGGCAGGGGGAGAGAACCGCCGCTGGTCCTGCCTGGCGACTCGTACAACACGGAGATCGCTGAGCGGGTCAAGGAGTACGAGTCTCGCAGCGCCGCGTCGTCGGACGTCGAGGTGGGCTCCAGTGTCACGAGGGCGTCCAGCACCAACAGGTGATGACTCCGGGGAGTGGGGGAGGGGGGGAGGATGGTGAACAGAGTGGTTGTCCCCAACATTGCTGGTTGATTCAGTCATCATCATCATCATTAATATTATCATCATCATCATCATTGTTATCATCGTCATCATCATTATCACCATCATCGTCATCATCATCGTCGTCATCATTGTCGTCATCATCATCATCACTTTTAAACATTATTGCTTTTTTATCAATAAGTATTAATTTATAAGATAAAATGTGATACGATGTGATACGATGGTACTCAGATGTCCCAGTGGGACATTAATGGGACATTTTTATATGCTGTACAGAAATGGTAAAAACACATGTAGATATACATAGAATTTACTTTATATTACTTTCCATTAAACAATTTCATTTTAGTAAGATTTTACGGCGCTCGCAACTGCATAAGGTCATATGAGCGCCAAGGGGTGGATGTCAACAGAGAAGTCCAAACGGGGAATCAGACTTACTCTGCTCACCTCTCTAGCTTCAACAACACAAAGTCTGCTTCGACTATCAAGGCACCCCGGAAATAGCAGTTCACAAGAGAGTGACAAACATACAAAAGAAGTAGAAGAAAAATGACAATAGTAACGATGAGGAAAGAAAAAGCAGCAGTTCCCCCCCTGTTGTTCCTGCACAGTGTGAGCATGACATTGATAAATCAGCCCATTTACAATTCTACTGTGCATGAGAACATGTTTATATCCCCCTTTGGGAAACAAAAATTTCAGGAAGAGTAAAATGAAGCTGACTATAATACATGTACCACATCAGATGCATCTTTCAACCACAAGCATGACTTTATCACAGACCTGTGTGTGTGTGTGTGTGTGTATGTGTATGTGTGTGTGTGTGTGTATGTGTGTGTGTGTGTGTGTGTTTGTGTTTGTTTGTGTGTGTGTCTGTGTGTGTGTGTTTGTGTGTGTGTGTGAATGTGTGTGTGTGTGTGTGTGTGTCTGTTT